AGAGGGAATCCTTCCCAAATCATTTTATGAGACCAACATCATTCTGATACCAAAACCTGGCAGAGACCCAACAAGAAAAGAAAACTTCAGGCCAATATCCATGATGAACATAGATGCAAAAATCTTCAATAAAATATTGGCAAGCCGATTGCAACAGCAAATCAAAAAACTTATTCATCATGATCAAGTAGGATTCATCCCAGGGATGCAAGGCTGGTTCAACATACGCAAGTCTATCAACGTAATTCACCACATAAACAGAACCAAAAACAAAAACCACATGATTATCTCAATTGACGCAGAGAAGGCATTTGACAAAATTCAACAGCCCTTTATGCTAAAAACCCTCAATAAACTCGGTATCGATGGAACGTATCTCAAAGTAATAAAAGCTATTTATGACAAACCAACAGCCAATATCATACTGAATGGGCAAAAACTGGAAGCATTCCCTTTGAAATCTGGCACTAGACAAGGATGCCCTCTTCACCACTCCTATTCAATATAGTACTGGAAGTTCTAGCCAGAGCAATCAGGCAAGAAAAAGAAATAAAGGGTATTCAAATAGGAAAGGTGGAAGCCAAATTGTCTCTATTTGCAGACGACATGATAGTATACCTAGAAGACCCCATTGCCTCGCCCCAAAAACTCCTGAAACTGATAAGCAACTTCAGCAAAGTCTCAGGATATAAAATCAATGTGCAAAAATCACAAGCATTCGTCTACACCAATAACAGACTTAAAGAAAGCCAAATCAAGAGCGAACTGCCATTCGCAATTGCTATAAAAAGAATAAAATACCTTGGAATACAACTCACAAGGAACGTAAGAGACCTCTTCAAGGAGAACTACAAACCACTGCTCAACGAAATCAGAGAGGACACAAACAGATGGAGAAACATTCCATGTTCATGGTTAGGAAGAATTAATATCGTGAAAATGGCTATACTGCCCAAAGTAATTTACAGAATCAACGCTATCCCCATCAAGCTACCATTGACTTTCTTCACAGAACTGGAAAAAACCACCATGAACTTCATATGGAACCAAAAGAGAGCCCGCACAGCCAAGTCAATTCTAAGCAAAAAGAACACAGCCGGGGGCATCACACTACTGGATTTCAAACTATACTACAAGGCTACAGTAATCAAAACAGCATGGTACTGGTACCAAAACAGAGATATAGACCAATGGAACAAAACAGAGGCACCGGAGGCAACACAACATACATACAACTATACAATCTTTGATAAACCTGACAAAAACAAGCAATGGGGAAAGGATTCCATGTTTAACAAATGGTGTTGGGAAAACTGGCTAGCCATGTGCAGAAAGCAGAAACTGGACCCCTTCCTGACACCTTACACTAAAATTAACTCCAGATAGATTAAAGACTTAAACATAAGACCCGGCACCATAAAAACCCTAGAAGAAAATCTAGGCAAAACTATCCAGGACATAGGAGTAGGCAAGGACTTCATGAACAAAACACCAAAAGCATTGGCAACAAAAGCCAAAATAGACAAATGGGACCTAATGAAACTCCACAGCTTCTGCACGGCAAAAGAAACAGTCACTAGAGTGGATCGGCAACCAACAGAATGGGAAAAAATTTTCGCAGTCTACCCATCTGACAAAGGGCTGATATCCAGAATTTACAAAGAACTCAAACAGATTTACAGGAAAAAAACAAACAAGCCCATTCAAAAGTGGGCAAAGGATATGAACAGATACTTTACGAAAGAAGACATATATAAGGCCAACAATCATATGAAAAAATGCTCATCGTCACTGGTCATCAGAGAGATGCAAATCAAAACCACATTGAGATACCATCTCATGCCAGTTAGAATGGCGATCATTAAAAAATCTGGAGACAACAGATGCTGGAGAGGATGTGGAGAAAAGGAACACTTTTACACTGTTGGTGGGAGTGTAAATTAGTTCAACCATTGTGGAAGACAGTGTGGCGATTCCTCAAGGCCTTAGAAATAGAAATTCCATTTGACCCAGCAATCCCATTACTGGGTATATATCCAAAAGACTATAAATCATTCTACTATAAGGACACATGTACACGACTGTTCATTGCAGCACTGTTTACAATAGCAAAGACCTGGAACAAACCCAAATGCCCATCGATGATAGAATGGACTGGGAAAATGTGGCACGTATACACCATGGATATTATGCAGCCATCAAAAACGATGAGTTCGTGTCCTTTGTAGGGACATGGATGAATCTGGAGAACATCATCCTCAGCAAACTGACACAAGAACAGAAAATGAAACACCGCATATTCTCACTCATAGGTGGGTGATGAAAAATGAGAACACATGGACACAGAAAGGGGAGTACTAAACACTGGGGTCTATTGGGGGGAAAAGGGGAGGGCCAGAGGGAGGGGGAGGTGGGGAGGGATAGCCTGGGGAGAAATGCCAAATGTGGGTGAAGGGGAGAAGAAAAGCAAAGCACACTGCCATGTGTGTGCCTACGCAACTGTCTTGCATGCTCTGCTCATGTACCCCAAAACCTAAAATCCAATAAAAAATTAAAAAAAAAAAAAAAAAAAAAAGAAAGACAGCAGGGTATGGTGGGAGAGGTGCTGTCAGATTTCTGCTCCCTCCTCCCCTACCTCCTAGCAGTATAATTCTGGACAAGTTATATAACCTTAAGAGACCCAGCTTACTCATCTGGAAATGGGTAGTAATGGTACTTTACCTTGTGAAGTTGTGATACTAGTTAAGGTGATGTTGGTACATGAAAGGTGATCAATAATTCTTAGGTTACTATAAACCGGTCTTGCCTGGTAGCTCTAGGTCATCTTCCAAGGCAGGACTGAGACATTACCTCCTCCAGGGAGCCTTCACTGGCTACTTCCCTTTCCCCACCAACCTGAAGCTTTGATTTGCCTTTACGGTCCCACAGCCCCTACTCTGTGAAGGTCTGTTTTGTTATCTGACTTCCTCACCAGATGTGAGTCTCTTTTAGGTTACAGACCTGGTCTTAAAAGTCAGTATTTTCCCATATACAGTGGACGGTCTGCTCTTTGTTTGTGAATTGAATACTGGATATATGAGGAACAGGCTGCTGGCATGATGAGTGAATGCTCAGAGTGCCTTGCTCTGGGCTGGAGAAAAGCTATTCAGAACTGGTCATCTCCTGTGAACTTTCCTGGAAGGGTCATGGTGGCAGAGACGGTGTCCATCTTCAACTCCACTGAAGCTCAAGCCCCAGTTCTTGGCCATGTAGTAAGCCCTTTGTTAACTAGGGTGTGGAAAACAGAAACCACACTAGGTGTTTCAGACAGAGGTATTTCAGCACAGGGAGCTGGTTACACATGTGATGGAGGAGCCAAGATGCCAGAAAACTGTGAGGCAACCCAGAGATCAGGGTCAGCAGGAAGCTGCAACCACCATTAGAACTAGTGGGTTAACGGGAGACAGAGAAATGACCAGAGTCCAGGAGCTGGGGCTATGGCAGGTCTGCTTGAGGAAAGATGGAGCCACAGACAGGATACAGCCACTACTGGAGCTGCTGCCCAAGGAAGGGAGTCAGACAGAGAATATGCTGTCCTTCCATCATCCTCCAGTCTATCTGTCTGTCTGTCTGTCTGTCTCTCTCTCACTCACACACACGCACACACACACACCTGCAATGCAAAGCAGAACAGGGAAGGACAAGGAATAGATATGAGGGCAAACAGTCAAATGACCAATACAAGGCTCACTAAGTATTTGTTGAATTAATAACTCATCTGGCTTAGTCTAGATTAAGGGGGAATTCACAAACTACCCCACCATACTTTACAGTCTATCTATAAATACATTTCAGAGAATGGGGACCAATATAAATCTCTTGCCGTTCTTCAAGACCCATGGACTCATGGACTGTGGGCCGAGGTCTTGAGATGCATGGCTTGAATCAGTCACATTGGGATGTCCTTTTGACCCCAGCAGCCATGTTCTTGCTTTGCAAACGTTCTTACTTCCATGCATACTCTCCCTGGCTCCTGTCTGAGTTCAGTCCCTGCCTCAGTCATCTCTGGAATACTGAAACAGCCTCTTTCCTTATTGGTTGTAGTTGTCTTAATTCCAGAATTTCTTCCCACTGATCTATCTTATCCTTGGTAGCAGACAAGTCATCCCAAAGCTCAGTTCTGAGCTGGTCACTTCGTTGATAAGACATTGTTAATATTTTAATATTTCCTCTTGTCTATGGGATAAAGTCCCACTTCCTAAGTCTGAGCATTTAATCATTACTGATGTAGCCCCAACAGTATTTTCCACTATTCCTGTTTCATATTCTCTGCTCCTCTCAGGTGGAGCTGCTACATTTCTCCTTTCCAGTTGCTCCACCTTGACTTGTGCTATTCTCTCTAACCAGAGGCCCCTCTTCCCTCTCTTTGATTTTTAATCATACCTTTGCATGTTTGAAGCTTCGGTTTACATCCTATTTTGCATTCCTGATGGGAGAATTGATATTTTTCCCTACCTCTGAATCTCTGCAGCATGTTATCTGTATTTATCACACTTAACCACTTTCTGCTTTGCCCTGGAATTACTGATATGCACGTTATCTCCCTGCTAAGGTTTTAGAGGGTAGAGACCATGGTATTTTTAGCATTATGGTTCCCATAGCATCTAGTATACAGTTTACAGTGGGCACTTTATAAAATTTTTGTTGCATAAATGGTCGTGTTTTTATGTGAATGAAGGAATGGATCAACAGACATCCATACAAATGAATAAATGGGGTGAATGAGTAAGACTATCACTTATCCTGAGGTCCCATAGAGCAGGCTACTACAGCCAGCCCAAAAGAGGATGCTGCGTTAGATGGACAGTCACCTGGGGTTATACGAGTTACACATATCATGGAGGATCCAGACGGCTCTGGAAGGGGCACCTTCTGGAGGAGAGTTTGGGGTAAACCACAGATCTTGAGCTTGCAAAAGCCAGCCCCAGACCCTGGCTTCCTTGCCCCATGAAGACACTCACGTCAATGTAGTTGGCATTGATGTAGTCAGAGTGTGGGTCTCCATCCAGCACCAGCAGCCTCACCCGGGAATGGTCGTCTGCAGAGAAAGCAGAAATCAAGGGATGGTTGATAAGAGGCCTTAGGGTGAGGAGGCAGTTATGTCCTCCTTTAGAGCTACTGTTTACTAATCACTGCATATCAGGCATCAGGCTACTCTCTCATTTAACCCTCAACACTACCCTCAGTTACTATTCCCATTTACAGATGAGTAAGTGGAGGCTCAGGGAGGTAAGCACTTCTCATTTTTCTACCTTCCCTTCTGATTTTGTCATTAGCTAACTGGATCAGTCACCTGCTTAAGTCTTAGTGATTTAATCACTAAAACAGGGATGGAAATACCTGCTTCATAGGACAACGTGAGAGAGACCATATAAAAATGCCCAGGACAGGAGAGTGTTGCATCTGGATTAATATACTCCATTTTCACGTTGGTTAAAAACAGCAAATTTACCTATCTTCCACACATGCACAAATTGCTTTTCTTCTGCCCCTTGGAGTACTCTTGCAAATAGATTGTATTTATCTATATGTTATCAATACTATTATTGGAGTGAGGCTGACTAAATCATTATAAAAGAGGCCATCAATAACTCAACTTTATGGTATAGAGGATACCTTTTCAAACACAACCTAGACATAAACAAGATTTGCAGGCTTTATTTTATAGCATGCTTACTTCAAATAACACCAAATAAAAACCATTAAAAGAAAACTAGTGCAGCAGAAGAATCAAGATAATCCTTTACAATTAATTAAGTAAGCTCTGACATGCTGATTGATAGACACACACAGTGAAACATTGGTTGGGTCTGGTTGGGAGGAGGGACCCTGCTTTGCTATCCAGGTGACTGTGCACATATCGTTGTGCAGTCACTGCATCCTAATTCACCTTCCTCCAGGGCAGGAATGGGGTCCCTAGGAACCGGGCTGGAGAGCTCTTGAAATCCCAAGGATTTTCTGGGAGTTGAGGAGGAGGAGGTCAGGTCAGCTTATCCTGTTAGAATTATACAGCACTCTGCAGTTTACAAGGCATATTTACTGCAACTAACCAAGACTCCCTTGAGAACTGGGACATTATGTCTTATTCCCTGTTTCATCCCCCGCACCTTCAAAGGGTCCTGACATAGAGCAGGTACTCTATAAGTACATGGAAAATGTATAATTGGATGACTTCATTGGGTTCCCAAGTGACCCTGTGGGAGAGAAGTAGGATGGGTTCTGTTAGCCCCTGGTTACAAATGAGGAAACTGAGGCCCCAGAAAGCCTGACTGGCCACATGGCCAGTGAATAGTGAAGCATGGAAGAGTGAGATACTCTTAAATCTGGGTTCAGTGGCTCCTGCTTCCAAAGTGGGTGTAAGCACAATGTTAGAAATCACTTCAAATATACCCAGCAGAGGGAATTAACTACAGAGAAGTGGTTGCCTGGGTGACAGAAGAGTTGAGCAGCCAGATAGAAGAGAGTGGAGAAATTGAGAGATCAGCAGCAACAAGGAGACACTGCCTGCCCTTGGGCTGAAGGGATGGAGGGAGGCAGTGGAGTTAGCAGTGCTCAGGAGCTGGGGCCACCCGCTGGAACCTAAAGCCACAGTGGGATTCTGGTAGGAGCTGGAGACAAGGAGGAGCTTTCCTTGCTGCTAAGGAAGGCAACTGTAGTTGTAATACCCTGGCTTCTCCCTTCTTCCTTCTCTCCAGTCTCCCAGTACATGTCATTGGCCAAACCTTGACAGCTGACAAGAGAGCCTGAGAAATGCAACCTACAAGGGTCAGTTACCTGCAATACACAGTAGAGTGGGAGAAGGTAAGGAATGGGTCCTACTATGGACAAACAGGCCTAGGGCTGGTATAAGATACACCCCATATCTATTCATTAACTTAAGAATCATTCATTGAGTATCTTCCATGTGGCAGGCAGGCAATGTGCTAGACAGTGAGTTATACTAAATGCCACTTTTCTTACTCATCAGGGGAAAAGTTCCAGCAGAAGCAACTAGAGGGAGCAGGTGGGTGGTCTAAGCAATCCCTTTGGGTAGGTGGGAGAGTGGAGTGTGACATAGGGGAGGAGTTTGAAGTTAACCTTTATTGGATCCATGGTAGGTACCAGAGACTTTAGATACATTATCTCACTCAATCATTTATGCCTCAAAATAGCCCTATAGGTTATTATAAAGATAGCAGAACGATATGGCATTATGAGCCTTCCCATTTCACAGATGAAGACACTGGGGTTCAGAAAGATTAAGCAAGTTTCTGAAGTTATGCATCATGTGAGTGGCAGATACAGGATTTCTCTCTTAGGTTTATCTGACCCTGAAACCCTACTCTGCCCACATAACTTGCTGCCCTCCAGCCTCAGGTATCTCACAGGCACTACAGATGGAATCTGTGTAAACAGTTGGTCCCCACTTCCTGCAGGATTCTAGCTCCAGAGAGGAGGACTGCCAGGGGGACAGCTCATCTAGCAGGCTGGAATTCAGACAAAGCCTGGCACCTGACTCTCAGCCCAGGGCATCAAGCCTCTGTTACCAGCAGTTCCAGGAGTGTAGGCCTTAAAACAGTGAAAATGCACATTGTGTTTTCACTCAATGGTCTCATTATGACTTATCGATTCAGAAATCTCCTTTAGTTATTGAGTTATGCCTGCCCATGGGGCCCACAGCACTGGAAACAGAGATTCTGGTTTAAAATGTTGAAAGGGAATTTTTAAAATAGAAAATGAAGTTGAAAACCCAAAAAGCAAAAATGATTAAAAACAAAAAGAAACAAACTTATTTATTCTAGTTAAGCATTCTTACAGATGAAGGGGGGCCTCCAGCCACCAGACGATGGTGTTTGACAACATCTCTCCTTCATTTATTAAGAACGTGTTTACTGCACACCTACTATGTGCCAGGCTAGTTGAAGGGATTATAAAAGTGCTATTAAATGTGATACTCATGTTTAAGGAATTTGTCAATTTAGTAGAGACAGACCGTATGCAGAAGCAAAACTTCCAAATCCAGAAGATGGGGACTAGAGGGCTTTGTGTAGTGTCATGTGAATGAGGAATTAAAAATGAGTCAGGTTTGACCAGTGCACAATGAGGAAGTCTTTCCATCAGAGGGAATGGCTGGGGTGAAGGCAGACATCCTGAAAAAAGCAAGCATAGTGGGAGAGCTGCAAGGGTCTCCTGTCCTGAGAGAGCAGAGTGTGAGGGGAACAGCAATGGGAGGGGAGATGGAGAGGGGCTGGGAGGGTTAGATTTCATAGGGCTCTTGAAGCCCCATGAAGCCACCAAGACTCAAGGAATCATGCTGGGCTCTGCAGAGCAGCCTAATTCAGTGTTTCTTTTCTGGGACAGTGGAAGGGTGCTTTATTATGATGTAACCAAAATTAATGCCCACACAGCTAACTTATGTCAAGTGAGACAAACATTGTCTTTTTTTTTGAGACGGAGTCTCGCTCTGTTGCCAGGCTGGACGGCAGGGGTGTGATCTTGGCTCACCACAACCTATGCCTCCTGTGTTCAAGTGATTCTCCTGCCTCAGTCTCCCAAGTAGCTGGGACTACAGGTGCGCACCACCACTCCCGGCTAATTTTTGTATTTTTAGTAGACAGGGTTTTACCATGTTGGCCAGGATGGAATCTGTGACCTTGCGATCTCTTGACCTTGTGATCCTCCCACCTCGGCCTATCAAAGTGCTGGGATTACAGGTGAGTCACGGTGCCCAGGCAAGACAAACTTTTAATATATGATGTGAAATGTGGAGCTGTGATCAGACTTGGCTTCAGATCTTAGCTCTATTACCTAGCAAGTCAACTGATCTCTCTTAGCTTTAGTTTCCTCAGCAAAATGGAGCCAATACTATGTAACTCTCAACATGTAGGCATGAGAGGATTAAATAAAAAATATGTAGGTGTGCAAGTGCTAGGACATTAACAAGTGAGAGGACAAGCCACAGACTGGGAGGAAATATTTGTCAAACACATATCTGAGAAAGGACTTGTATCAAAAATACACAAGAAACTCTTAAAACTCAGTAAGAAAACAAATGACCCAATTAAAATATGGGAGAAAGATCTGAACAGACACCTAATCAAGGAGGATACACAGATGGCAAATAAGCATATGAAAAGATGTTTAACATCATGTGTCGTTAAGAAATTGTGAATTAAAAACAAGAAGATACCACTACATACATATTAGGCTGGCCAAAATCCAAAACACTGACGACACCAAAGGCTGGGGAGGATGTGGCACAGCAAGACCTGTCACTCACTGCTGGTGGGAATGCAAAATGGTACCTTGACTTTGGAAGACATTTTGACAGTTTCTTACAAAACCAAACACACTCTTACCATACTATATCCTGCAATTGTACTCTTTGGTATTTACCCAAATGAGGTGAAAACTTATGTTCACAGGAAAACCTGCACCTGGATATTTGTAGCAGTTTCACTTAAAATTGCAAAAACTTGGGGGCAACCGATATGTCCTTCAATAGGTGAATGGATAAACAAATTGTGGTGCAGACGGTCCCTCACTTAGGATGATTAGACTTATGATTTCTTGACTTCATGATGGTTCCAAAGCAATATGCATTTAGTGGAAACCATAATTTGAGTACACATATAACCATTCTGTTTTTCATTTTTGGCAAACTATTCAATCAATTCCCTGACATATTCAATACTTTATTACAAAATGTACTTAGCATTAGATAATTTTGCCCAACGATAAGCTAATGTAAGTGTTCTGAGCATGTTTAAGGTAGGCTAGGCTAAGCTATGATGTTTGGCAGGTTAGGTATATTAAAAGCATTTTTGACTTATGATATTTTAAACTTATGCGTTTATGGGGATATAACCCCACTGTAAGTCAAAAAACATTCATTATACATCCATACAATGGAGTAAGGTTCAGTGATAAGCAGGAATGAGTTATCAAGCCACAACAGACATGGAGGAAACTTAAATGCATATTGCTAAGTGAAAGAAGCCAATCTGAAAAGGCTACATACTATATGATTCTGACTATATGACATTCTGGAAAAGATAA